CTCTTATTCTCTTAATACAATTAAATTATTCTAAAAAAAAAAAGGAAATTAAATTTAAGTTATCCAAAAAACTTAAACTGCTAAATGAATGGTTAATGAAATAATTGCTATCTACGTCCAAGCATCTTCAAGACCTTTATCGTGTATAGAACTTCAAGACTTCTTTGTCAAAATTATAAGAAGAATGCATATTAGAAAGAAGAAATGAAAAAAATAAACCTTGAAGAAATCATAATACCATAATATGTTACTTACCAGAAAATTTTCAAAGCTGAGAATCTATTATTATCCCACTAGTGATGATAAACACCCAATTGCAATAAAGTTTTTGCCGTATATCTCCTGTCACTAGTGTGTCAATCGAAGAAAAGGTCACTCTAAATAATTAGAAATGACAAAAAAAGGTCGAGAACTAGGCCATCAGTTAAAAAAAACCACAACCTTGTGCCAGTAAAAAATAAACCAAGCCAGAATGAATGGCATATCGACATCATTTAATATATTGAATATTTTAATGAGTAGATGTCAAGAAAATGACGAGAATATGATCCATGATTTTAGAGTATAAATAGCGAGTTGAACATAGGTGGTTGTCAATAAAACTGTATTGAGGTAAACAACTAAGTAACGGAAGAAGGTAATTCTAAAAAAAATGCTTGTGATTTTTCTCTAATAAAGTATCTAGAGTTTTAATTTTATGCAAATTAACAAGTACTTAGTAGAAATTCAAAACTTATAATAAATTGAATTTCATTTTACTATTTGCATTTCTTAATCGTAACCCCGATTTACACTGCATACAGCTTACCTTTTATCGTTACTCTTATATGAGCCTTAAAACATATTATTCTTGCCTTAAAATATATTGTTCTTGCATTGTTGATGCAAACTCGACACATCTATTGTTGATTGATGATAACATAAGTTTTTATTATTATGCGAGATTTTGGTAGTTATAGCCATTTGGTCTTTTAATCTAATTTAATTTAGAAAAGTTAATATTGAAATAATAAGTATTTGCAATTGTTTAAAAAATACTTACATCTGTTTAATAATTGATTTTTTTTTATTGACCAAATAAATTTGAATATGTATAAAAAAAAATTCAACTTCCAAAATACTAAATAAAAAGTATAGATTCAATAAATATCTTTAGAGGGTGCAAATAAATATGCGATTCAGAAAAATTTTGAAACTTGATGCATGGTTAATTTAATCGTTGGTAAAATATAATAATCTGTTACTTTGCAAAAATTCGATAGGAAAAATCTGGTTCATTAACTACTAAAAAATCAATGTTGTTAAAGAAAAGTTAATATTTTACGATTTCTAAAAAATTGAAATTGTCAAATTCAGATATATAATTTTGATTACATTATTATGAAGTTTATTTATAATAAATAATGTGATTTTAGCATTAGCTTTTATTTATCTTTTCGTTTAGAAATATTGAAAAAAATGGCACCAAAAAAGTCATCTTCTCATAAGTGTTAACCCTATTTATAACTATTGATTTTTGTTCAAATATTCTTTCTTACTCTTCTTTATAGAAAAACCAATAATGAGAAAACCTAATACAAAAAAAAAAGCTAATACTGTACCGGTAGAGTCAGATATTTCTGAACATTTAGATGGCCTGCCAAAATCCAAAAAACTACGAAAATCACATACAACAAAGGATAAAGGTAGATTTGTAAGATTATATATATATGTATCATGCAATTAAAATTGATTTCTTTTTTTTTTTTTTTTTAAAAGAAAATGTTGATATAGATTCAGAGACCAATGAATTAAATGATGATAATTTACAACCTAAAGCTTGTACCTAACATCAATCAAGCTGCTCACTTTCTATAGAATTACAAAGTAAACAAACTTATATAGAAAAGCAGCAAAATCGAAACAACAAGGCCTCTCAGATTCAAGAATCACCAGGTCATCATAACAATCTTGGATCTTCGCCTTTTACTGCTAATCAGTATCAACATAAAGTACCACCTCAATTAAATACAAGATCTACTACCTCAAGGGTCTCAAGAGTTCAATCAATTGAACCTAATGTTGATTCTTTGCTTGAGCAGCCTAACAGTTACAGCCAACATTTTTCTAATCGAAGTTATCATCTATATTCTGATGAAGCTGAATCTTCAGAAGATGAAATCTTTTCTTCACTTAATCAATATTATAATAAAAATTCTTTTGAAAAGTCATCTCATTCAGTTTCTCCATTAAATATGCAAAATACAAAGTATACGAATTTATATCCAAATCCAACTATTCAATCAGGTTTACCAGCTTCATCTACAAAAAGTAGACTCTTTTTTCAAGATGAAACGCATCTTGCATAATGGCTAGAAATGTGTAAAGACATAGTATTACAGGCATTGAACTCTATTCTTTCATCACCATCTGTTGTACCAAGTCAGGTTAGCAACAATTTATCCGTCATTACTCAATTTCCTAATGGCCATTTTTTGCTGACAAGCCATTTACCTAGCATCATATGGGGTTAGAGTTAGCATTTTATTAGTTTTAGGTGTATCTTTTTTTTTTAGTAAATTATCACTTTGTGTGTAGGTAAATGGCTTGTCTGGAAATTTAGATGTAAACTATTTACATAAAATATAGTAATTATTTAATTTAAATAATAGCATCCTTCATCTGACTCACCAAATTTGGCAAAAATTCTTTCTGAGCAATCTCGGATTTTATTTCTTCGGACTCAAATGCCAACGAAAAGAACATGCTCTTCATTGATTAAAAGCATTATTTCTAATATGGTCAACACACATCCCGATTGGAATGGAATCTCAAGTAAATTAAGGCAAGCATTCGAAAACTTCTGTAGCATCTATAATGACGATGTTGCCAAATTGGCAAGCAATTTAATTAGAAAAAAAAGGCAAGTTATTAATTATTATTATTATTACATATTTCACATTTTATAATAATAAATAAACATGTTACAACAATTAAACTATATAAATTCTAGCGAACCCTCTAACCGTGATATTGAAGGATTCATAGCCAGAACGGTGTGGAAACGACCACTTAAGAAGCATATTGACATACTCGATTACAATGTTTTCAAAAACCAGAAATCAGAAGTAAAGGCATTAATGAACCTTGTTGCCAAAAGGTTCAAGATATATTTAGAATACCTGATAGCGGATTCTAGAGGAGAAAATCCAAATTACACATCCATGGTATTAAATTGTGTGAAAGAATTAGATTATATTACAATTAATATTACATTTCCAGCAGCAAGCCATTTTCAGTACGCTAACCAACTAGAACTTAATGAAGAATGACGAAGGTATGATTTAAAAAAATATATATACGTATAAATAATTATAATAACCAAATACTTCAAAATTCTATTAGTTGAATATTGCAAGAAGGTGCTATAAGAAGACTAAATGAGCGAATCAAAAAAAAAAGCAAGCTACATTTTTATTTCTTTGACATATTTACCTATACATGCTTATTTCCTGCTGCTTTATTTGAAATAATTGTATTTATACATATGCTAATTTACTTAAGTTATTATTGCATTTGTTATACGTGTTATATGTAGCGCTTAATTGATTTTTAAATATTTGTTTTATATATTAAATATTTAGCAGTGGATGTATGTTCCAAATATAAATTTTATACGATCTTAATTATAAATAGGTGCATATTTATTCTTGTCTATCCACCTAACATTGTATAGACGTGCATTCATTTTACATAAATTTAGAATCCTCACTACACTTTGAACCACTTTTGATTAGATGCCTCACATTAATTGTATATTTTTTGTCATCAGCATTTTGCAAACTTCCTTGCTGAAATTATATCATGACCTGAAAATTTATCATGAGTTTGTAATTTGGATTGAGCAATTAATATCCATCAGAAGGAAGCAATACAAGAATAATTAACTAAAAATCAATAAGTTTGTTATGATGCAATATTAAAAAAAAATTTATGAGAAATTGTAAACAAATGAATTCTTATTTTTAGTTTTTATTCATAATAACAAAATGGTATAAAGTTTGTTTCGAATATCTAAGAATAATAGACTAGTAAAATGCCTTTAAATTTCATTTGGTAAATTCACATTTTGACCTTACATTACTATTTAAACTCCTCCTTAAACTTCTAATATTATATTACGTAATAATTTTAAAGTTAAATCACTATAAAAAAGTTTGTGCAATAAAAAAAAAAATTGTATCTCTCTCTTGCAAAACTTGTCAAAAACCTTAGAATAGTTATCATTTTAAAGTGGTCTCAAAGTCTTTCTTCTCAATAGATCCTGATTATAAGAAATATATCTGTTATTCTTTGTTATAACCTCATGTTTTCTCGGAATAGATTCAAGAAAAGTGATCTGCATTATTCATTCGATTTAAATGTACGTTCTAAAAAAACTTATCTTAGTGACTATAATTTATCGGATGACCTGAACCATCAATTCATCAGCAATATTAATTATAACAATCAAGAATGCCGATATCAATATGAGCTTAATAATGACTTGAACTATAATAATCAACAATTTAAACTTAATAATGCTCAAAATGATGATAATATTCGAGATGATAATGATAATAAAGCCAATGATAATGTTCAAGCCGACAATGATATTCAAGCTGATGATGATATTCAAGCTGACGATGATATTCAAGCCGACAATGATATTCAAGCTGATGATGATTATAATATTCAAGCTAATGATGATACTCAAGTCGATGATGACCAACTATCTTAATATATGGACAATAACAACCAAAACTATAGTATCAATAATATAGAGTTTGATCAAGAATATGAAGATAGTGATATGAATGATATGTATAATAAGAATGGACTTAATGATAACATAAATACCTATAATTCAGATGATGAGCGTAAACCAATGGATGTCATGCTGAAAGCATTTGATGAAATGAAACCTGACATAAATTGGAATCATGATTGCCTCTTTGGCTCCTTCGAAAATTTTACAAATATGTCCATTTTTATATGGACTACAAAGTATATGATCTGTATGTAGTTTTATTCTATATCTGCTTATATAACAATTTGTGAGAATTTCATTCATTTTTTTATTTCTTAGCGACTGCTGCATATCATAATTTAGTGCAAATTTTACTTTATCCACAATTTAGAAAACAACATTTAACTACTAATTTGCAACGTCTTAAAAAGCAGTGTGAGTGATTACCATTAATAAAAATTCACAGTCACATGATTGCAATAAACACTAAAAACACACCATCAACATCCAAAATCTACTCGAGTTTATTATTCTTTAATTGAACATATCCAATATCTATTGAAAAATTCATCCATTAGCTCTCATTTATATTTTGGGCCGGGTATATTTTCAAAATCTTGCGAAGAATTGTGGGAAGGAGATCTTGGACCGAATCTCCTCTTTTTGGCCAATCAAATTTAATTACAACACAAGGTATACATATACAATATTGTTAATTTTTTTTTTTAAATAACTTTAATTTTTTATTGTTATATATTTATTATTATTTTAGGTGTGTTTAATTGCAGAGATTTTGTTAAATATCATTCAGTTGTTAAAGCCATTGAAGTCGGTCGGATCAGATCTTTTGTTATTGTGGATAAAATAATTAAAACTCAAATCTAATGGTTATTTTCGTATAAACAAATTTCACAATACCTATGCTCTAAACAAAATATATGCTCACTAAAAGAACGATATCTAGTTGAAAAATTAGAACTCTTTAATATTGATCTATCATCATTAATTTGCTGTTTAAATGTTTGGCTTTAAGACCAACCTGCTCCACCTATATATGAGCTCTTTGTTAGCAAAATATTGTATAATTATAATGGTCGGTGGAAACTTCGTTCAGTAAAGTTATGCCATCAACACTCATCTGAGCGCATATCTATCAAGTCACCAGCCAATTTCAATATGCCGATTCTTAAATTTTACTTGGATTTATATTACGATGATTTCAGCACTTTTCACAATGCCTATCATTCTTTAGGTAGAGTCTATTTACAAATTGGCAACATGCCGTGACAATTAAGAAAAAAACTTCGAAACTATTTTATAGTAGGATTGGTGCCATTTGGCAGCAATTTTAAAGATTTTATTAAACCTTTTGTTGAAGAAGTTTATCAACTTGAGCAAGGTTTTGTAATGAATGTGAATGGTGTAGATTGTTGGGTTTCAGGTGGACTAGCAATGGTTACAGCAGACTTACCTCAAGGAAACAATATTGCTGGAGTACTACGTCACAATGCTAATTTTGAATGTCATAGTTGTAAAGCTTATACGATCTTAATCATAAATATGTGCATATTTATTCTTGTCTATCCACCTAACATTGTATAGACATACATTCATTTTATATAAATTTAGAATCCTCGCTACGCTTTGAACTACTTTTGATTAGATGCCACACATTAATTGTATATTTTTTGTCATTGGCATTTTGCAAACTTCCCTGCTGAAATTATGTCATAACCTGAAAATTTATCATGAGTTTGTAATTTGGATTGAGCAATTAATATCTATCACAAGTAACACAAAAATAATTAACTAAAAATCAATAAGTTTGTTATGATGCAATATTAAAAAAAAAATTTATAAGAAATTGTAAACAAATGAATTCTTATTTTTAGTTTTCGATTCATAATTACAAAATGGTATAAAGTTTGTCTCAAATATCCAAGAATAATAGGCTAGTAAAATGCCTTTAAATTTCATTTGATAAATTCATATTTTGACCTTACATTACTATTTAAACTCCTCCTCAAACTTCTGTTATTATATTATATAATAATTTTAAGGTTAAATCACTATAAAAGAGTTTGTGTGATAAAAAAAAAAAAAAAGTATCTCTCTCTTGCAAACTTGTCAAAAACCTTAGAATAATTACTATTTTAAAGTGGTCTCAAAGTCTTTCTTCTCAATAGATCCTGATTATAAGAAATATATCTGTTATTCTTTGTTATAACCTCATGTTTTCTCAGAATAGATTCAAGAAAAGTGATCCCATTATTCATTCGATTTAAATATACATTCTAAAAAAACTTATCTTAGTAACTATAATTTATCAGATGACCTGAACCATCAATTCGTCAGCAATATTAATTATAACAATCAAGAATACTGATATCAATATGAGCTTAATAATGACTTGAACCATAATAATTAACAATTTAAACTAATAATGCTTAAAATGATGATAATATTCGAGAGATAATGATGATAAAGCCAATGATAATGCTCAAGCCAACGATGATATTTAAGCTGATGATGATATTTAAGCCGATGATTATTATAATACTCAAGCCAATGATGATTATAATACTCAAGCCGATAATGATACTCAAGTCGATGATGACCAACTATCTTACTATACGGACAATAACAACCAAAACTATAGTATTGATAATATAGAGTCTGATTAAGAATACGAAGATAGTAATATGAATGACATGTATAATGAGAATGGACTTAATGATAACATAAATACCTATAATTCAGATGATGAGCATGAACCAATGGATGGCATGCCGAAGACATTTGATAGAACGAAACCTGACATAAATTGGAATCATGATTGCCCCTTTGGCTCCTTCGAAAATTTTACAAATATGTCTATTTTCATATGGACTACAAAGTATATGATCTGTATGTAGTTTTATTCTATATCTGCTTATATAACAATTTATGAGAATTTCATTCAATTTTTTTTTTCTTAGCAACCTCTGCATATCATAATCTAGTACAAATTTTACTTCATCCACAATTTAGAAAACAACATTTAACTACTAATTTGCAATGTCTTAAAAAGCAGCATGAGCGATTATCGTTAATGAAAATTCAGTCACATAATTGCAATAAATACTAAAAACATACTATCAACATCTAAAGATTCTACTCGAGTTTATTATTATTCTTTAATTGAATATATCCAATGTCTATTGAAGAATCCATCCATTAGCTCTCATTTATATTTTGGGCCAAGTATATTTTCAAAATCCTGCAAAGAATTGTGGAAAGAAGATCTTTGGGCCAAATCTTCTCTTTTCGGCCAATCAAATTTAATTACAACACAAGGTATAC